AATTGCATCCGCTCAGATGGCCACTATGAGAACCAGGTAGAGGTTCTTATAGTTCAAACTGTAGTGTATAGTGCTAACAAAACCAATTTTGTGAATTTGATTCCCAGTAAACTGCATGAAGTAATAATGTATACTAATGAATTTCTAGAGTCTAATGAATCTCTCATCTTTTCTTCAGCTCATGGTGACCAAAAGAGGTCTGTCACTTTTACTGAGACCCAGCAGGAACCGCCTGGCAGATCTCCCACTGCCACTCCCAGCCCCAGCAGCGGCCTACCAGGGCTCACAGAGGTTGGGAGGCTGAGCCATGCTGCAGGAGGACACTCTCCTTCTGCCACATCAGAGTCCTCATCACCTAGCATCAAAACTGCCCAGCACAAACCAGCATGGCCACAGGTCTGATTTTACCCCACTGTCATTCATAAGAACACTTTGTTTCAATGAAATCTTGCAGAGTTGTTGGTTGCACACATCCTTAGTTAACTGTCATCCCCCATTTTTTAAAATAGGCATGCAGGTGCACTATCCAAACTTAAATTGTTGTAATTTATGAACACGTTGGAATACATACATAAGTTTGGTCTCTTTTTAAAGAAGAAAATCAGCAGATTATCGCAAAAGTGGAATTTTTAAAAAAAGTATCAAAGTATCAAAAAGTTATGGTAGTTTAAATTCTTTTTTTATGCATTTTTCTGTCACAAATGTCTAAATTTCTCTGTCATTGAGATATTACTTCTATCTCAAAATAACCAAATGTGGAATCCTGAGACTCAGACCTTTCCAATGATATGTTTTTTGTCAAGATTATAAAAAGTTTTGATTGTAAAAGAGCGTAATGCATTTTGTAATATGACATTTGACACCGCCCACTAAGGGGGAGGAGACCGCCAAAAGATTTTAAAGTACCATTTCCATGGTAACGCAATGTCCGATTTCAAAATGGTTTTCACAGGATGAATCTTGGACTTCTAAGCTTTCAAATGATTTATGATGATTACTAAAAGACTACTAAAAGATTTGATAGAGAAAAAGGACAACAAAAAAGAGAGTGCCAAGCGCCCCACAGGTGGGACGGTGACAGTTAAGGGGTTAAAATGACAAAGTTTATACCCAGCTAACGAAAATATGTTGTAAGAACATTTTGTTAACATTCCCATTAATCAATGAAACAGAAATGTTATGGATGTCCAGTTTTTTAAATGTTTTCGAAATGTTTTTCTTGGTTATGTAAACATTAAGGGAACATTTTGTGTACATCATGGGAATGTTACATTTGAATGTTCTCTGAACATTCTGAAACAAGTAGTTACATTTAAAAAAATGTTAGACAAACATCTAACTAAAACGTTTCAGAAAAATATTCCATGAACTATGTATAGATAATGTTTTTGTGTGCTAACGGTTTAAGATCATTGTTAAGACCAAATAAAGTTACCAGAAGAGCATTTGCTTATAACTTAGAGAGAACCTTGCCAGAACGTTACGGAAGTTCTGAGAATGTCCCTGTTAGCTGGGTAAGTGCTAGTTTGGATATGAAAGGTTCTATTATGTATGTTTGGGTGTTGATTATTGTATTGCATGAGTGTTGAGTGGAGACATCATGTCTTTAAAATTGAATGTAGCCATTTATACCTCTGAATTTGACGGCTTATATAACGCTTGCTTTATTTTGCTCTCAGTATGAGAATAAAGACAGGAAAGATCAGGGGAGTGTAAGAAGCAGTCTTTCTCCAACTCCCTCTGCTGCCTCAAGCTCCACTTCTAGAGCCTGCTCCCCTCTTCCTCCTCCCCTCCCCGTCCTGAGTACACCATCCCGACTGGCCCCAACCCAGATCAGAGAAAGTCCCGAGGATGAGGAGACCACTGGGCTTCTGCAAAACACGGACACCTCCCCTGGTGCAGGAGAGGACCGTGGCACGGAGAACCCACTCCTGACCTCGCTGCTCACACCCCATGCTCTGTCTCCGCTCCCCTTGTCCCCTGTTGACCTGGATCTGGATGAGTCTCACGTTTGAGAATGTCCAGCTTCAGGATGTAACAGTTTAATACTGTGCTAGTTTAACAAGAAGTGGAAAAAGAAATCCTGTGATTATGTTTCTTCAATAACTTTAACTTGATTTTTTTTGTGAACTCTTGACCACAAGAGTTAAAGCATTTTAAGCTATCATGGGACATCCTTTGCAATTAATATACATTTATGAAGCACTGTGCATAATTCTACACACCAATGAAAGCTAATTATAACCATTCAGTCTTTAGTGAGATAAATGATGTAATTTTAAAGCATTCTGTGAAAATCATATAACTACAAAATCTCAGTATTTAATTATATAGATGTATTCTAAATATTTGTCATCTACTAAACTTTATTTTAAAGGGTTATATAAAAAATAGATATTTAGAATAAATATTATAAATGCTATATTTTCAGAAATATAAAGATGCTTGTATGATATTGATGCCAAGTTTTTGCCAAATGTTTGTTTGCAAAGACAAATTCAAAGCACCTGCCAAATTTCAGTGGGAACAAAACTGGAAAACGTCATTGAATATTATAAATATTTAAAAAATAGAAATATATTTAAATAGAAATATTCTAAGCATCTTCCCTGCTGTTGTCCTGATTATGTTGGTGTTGTTCTTCTGTTAACCTCAGTGTAATTCAACTAATGCTTAAACTGACTCTAAAATACACTATAACCTTTTTACAGAAACGTCACAAATTCTTCTACATAACATTTGGTGTTAAAATAGTCAATAGAGTATTAATTGAATGTCTCATACCCTTGTATTCCGAATGTAAAAGCTCAACAGGCATTTGATATTTCTGTGTCTGCTGCTTTGTGGGTATATTGATTTTTGTCTAATGTGTTGCTATCTGTTGGATTTGTTCAATAATAAATTATTTAATCATGTCGTGTTGATTTGGGCTTTTTGGTTTATTATAATTAGCATAATAATACCAAATGATTTGTATTTGTTGCATTTGTGAAAGACTAATCTACTACTAACTACTAATCTTCTGATTCAAAAGAACTAGACGCATGATTGGAATGCAAAATGGTTTATTAGTAGAAAATAGGCAATTCTTGGAATGTAACTGTATCAGTAACAGTTTTACTTGTTGGCGATAAATGTCTCAAGGAGCTTAAAAAGCCTTTCTTCTCTTGCAGCAGCTTCTCTTTCTCTGTAGTCCTTTTCCTGCCTTTCTTCTCTAGCCAGAATCTCTTTCTTCCACCGTTCCTGTCTCACAAACATTTCTCGTTCCCTCCTCTCCTCCCTCTCCAGCGCCTGTCTCTCTCTCACTTCTTCTCTCTCCACAGACCTTCGATCTTTTTCGGCCTCCCTCTCCGCAGCCCGTCTGTCTCGCTCTTCTTCTCTTGCTGTGGCCCGTCTATCTCTCTCTCTCCTTTCCATCTCCCGCAGGGCTGTCAACCAGTCCTCTTCCTTTCTCTGCTTGATGGGAGGAGCGTCCTGAGCAGAAGAGGACACTTGAAATGGTTGAGGGGGATCTCAAGAGGGTCTGGCTGCAGCCTTGCGCTTGCACTCTCAGACTTGCATTATCAGACTTGCACTCTCACTCAGACACTTGCACTTCCGCTAGCGACGTCACTTGCAGTCATTTTTATTTTGTTCTATTTATTGATTACTTTTTGTTTGAATATCTCAACATTTTACAACAGTAGCCAGGTGGTGAAGAGTGTCTGAGAGTGCAAGTCTGAGAGTGCAAGCGCAAGGCTGCAGCCAGACAGTGCCCCATCCATGATTACATACCACTTCCAGGTTGCAATCGATGTGTCTCCCCCCACCATACTGAGGCTTTTGAGGTCCTGCAATAAATGATCAAAGACAAATGAATTATAGGTCAATGACAGAGTTGAGGATTCAAAAAAATATTTTGAATATCTAGTTTAAAATGTGTACCAAATTCTTAGAAAAATGTACTCTTTGTATTCATGTTGGTGTGAATTGTGAATTGCCAGATTGTGAAGCTCCAGATATTTAGCATGCCAAATATTTCACGGGTGTCGGCGACGCATCGGCGATTCCCTCAGATCGCGTCTTTGATAATTCACACTGCGTGATTGTCACTCGAGTGAACGAGCACCGATTTTCCTCCGATTTCGGGCATTTGTCGGTGATTTCGCAAAACCTGTCGGCGAGTGAAAAATCGGGTTAAAATCGTGCAGTGTGAACTCGGCATAAATCTCCTTTCTTCCCCATTCTGATGCTCGGTTTGAACTTCAACAGACTGTCTTGACCGTATACATGCCTAGTTGCTGCCATGTGATTGGCTGATTAGATATTTGCGGTAACAAGCAGTTGAACAAGTGTAACCAATAAAGTGGACATTGAGTGTATGCAGTGGTTAACAGATGCAGAGCCCCCTACAGACAATACTACCAAAATGCACCTACTAACAAACCCCTCTAAAGAATGGAAAAACTCCTCCACATTGCCTGTATGGTTTTAGATTTGACTTTAGAAGACAGTTTTTTTACGTTCAAAATTTACAAACTTTATATAATAAACGAGTACACCATGAATCCATTTTCCAAACAGTGTTTTTGGCTTGTCCTGAATCACTACGGTACACCTATAATAAGTGTTTATATTTGGACTATTTAGACTGGTTCGGGTAGGTACCGCTGCGGAGTAGCCCAGTACCTGCGTGATTCGACAGACATAAACAGAGAGAAGTAGCTCCGGCTACAATGTTCTTCCGCAAGACACACGGAGTTCTGTTTATTAACCGCTAGAGCGCCAAAAGTTACAGACTGCAGCTTTACATAAATGCTATTTGGTTTGATAACGTTTGAAAAATGTGTGCACCTTCATGGCACGAACCACAGCTTCAGGTTTCTGTACAGATGAGACAAACCCGGTGGAAGGAGAAGACTCACTGGTCTGTAGCCTTGCAGTCCCCTGGAGAAGAAAACATGTTAGTTTGGTCCTGGTCAACATATTGGTTAAAGGACCTTTTTGGGGGGGGGGGGTAT